TCTTGCGGGAATCGACAGGTCGATTGTGTAAAGACAGATTTATTATTAATTTTTATTATACTTGTTTATCTCTTGGACTCGAACCCGCGCCCAATATCATATTCAGTTTTAATGTCGGCTGTATTCCCACTTCGTATGAAATAAACCAGAAAATTAAAATAATCTGTATAAAAATAATTTTGGAATGCAGATCGTTGAAGACTTCGTAACAAATTTTGGGGGGGAATATGTGTGTCTACGAGAGAGGAAGTTACAGGACACTGGAGAAAACTCCATAATGATGAACTTATAATATTCCTCCGTGGCTCTAAGGTCCTTCAATAACCTTGGCCGTCTAAAATATGGAGTGTTCCTCGAGCTGTTTACACATTTGACAAGACTCCTTGGGCCTCTCTCTGCCCACACTCGATGACACAACACAGACAGACGAGGACAAAAACGCCCATACCTCGAGCGGGATTTGAACCCACGGTTCCAGTGTCTGAGCGGCAAGGCAATGATTTGAAGGTGTGGATTGGAATTAACTAGCTTAATATGTGGTTCAATCGCCGGATTTTTCTCTACGTGATTGTGGTTTCGTAAGAACATTTAATTTTTAAACTTGGTTCTGTGTCAGCTTTTCGAGGTAGACTTTGTTCCACGTAGTTGATGTGTTAAAAAACACTTAAGTGCTAAAATCAGGTAAGTCATCTCTGTCAATGAGGTGATGTAACATGTTGCCACTATTATCATGCAGAAGGTAAAACAGGTGTGACGTCAGCAAACAGCTGTTAGCAGGAAATGTATCAACAGTTTGGATATTCAAACAATGCTCAGTGGCGGATTTTATGGTTTTAGGATTTTTTTCCCCCCTGCTAGTGCCTTTGAAAGAGAGATGCTAAAAATATTAAATATGTAGATCTTAGTAGATTCAGCGTATAGTAAATTTTAAGCAGTCATTGTACTGGTATTTCTCAACGTACGGAAAGGTAGAGTGTCATATGTTTTCATCTCAGACCATACCAAGTTTCATTATTAATTATGTATCATCATACAATAATTTTCGTCATAAAATTGTGAAATATTATTTATTAATACTCGGTTTCCATGAGAATTGTGTACAATATTACTCTCGTCGGTCAAAAGACTTTCTTGATACTCGAGACAAGTTGAAGGTTAGTATGCTGCTATTTTGAGCACCCCTAAATTGCATTTCTGGTAAGAAGGGTTTTTACAATCCTGTGAAGATTTTAAGTTCAGGCAGAACAGAATTTCGCTTTCATTGTATTCACGATCCATTGTCCTAGGACATACCGGATGTCGGAAGGATTCTTAGTTTCAGTTGTGAATTTTACAGCATTTTAAAGATCAATGGTAACTATATGTACCACCTGCCCTAACAACCAAGTTACTGTGCATTTTTGCATTTATGAGCCTTGTTTGATGCTCAGTGTAAACAGCGATTACTTTCTTAAACAGCGTTAACCAGTTGATCTTTGTAATGGTGAAGCGTTGTGTTTTCTTCGCGGTACGGACTGGATTCTTAAATAGTATTTAGATCGAGCTTCGAAGGGTTGGCTAAGCTCTACGAACAGAAAGGATTTTGAAGGAATGGATGTGTCTTCACGCTTTCATATGAATATGAATATGAACCATCAGTTTCACGCTCTGGCCGCTATACAGACTGGAAGTTTGCTCTGTACACGTCACAAAAAACACCCTAAAACATAAAGTTTTAGTAATGATCTGTATAGAAAATTAACAAAAATGCATTAATCGAGAGCAGATTTATTGTAAGCGGACGGACAAAATTTGATGATGTCATAGACGTTCTTTCGTTATTTTTACAGCTCATTTTGGATATTCTTGAAATTTCCATGGTTCGGCTGACTTGTTCCACTCTAGTATGAATCACGCTCTTGAAAGGAGGATTCCTTTACCTGTTTGGCCTTGTATTTTTTTTCCCATGATGGTCGCTCTACCAAAGCATCCTTTTTTTTCAGACAGGAGGAACATAAACATTGTAACATTGGACACGGTTTGTGAAGGCCAGCGTTTCTAATACAAGAAGTATTTGATTCAGGCCCCGAAGTCTGTCCAAACGCGTGAGTATAGAGGGCAATACATGTGCTGTTTGATACAGGACATTGATTTTGAAAATATTTTAGACTTTTTATACGATCAGTATTTATTGATGGTGTTTTATTATTAATGTTATTTCTAGTCTGAATACAGATAGCGCTGAGAACACAAAATATCGATGAAGAAAATATCGATAAGATTCAGAACTATTTGCCCCAGAACGTGTGTCTCATTCTTATTCCCTTTAAGATACATGGATTTTTGCTTCGATGTGTTCAATTAAGCAAAGAATTGGATTTTGTTATTACCTACCTAAAAACCGAAAAATATTTACCTATATCCGAAATAGAGGAACAGACAAACATTGAAATTGTGTTATCTGGTATTGATCGTGTGAAAATTGCTTGAGATGTCCTTAACACGGCCAATGTTTATTGTCAGTATTCCGATATTGATAGTATTATTGATCACGTAAGGATAAATATTGAATGTACTGATAATGTTATCTGAGTTGCATCAGTCAGATTTCCAGAAGTCCTGGGTGATGTAATATTACGTTTCATCAAGGCTTATAGAATTTTGCAAATGTTATGGGCAGTCTCACATGTTGGAGTTTCTGTTCATCACTAGGGGAGCCACCATATTTAATAATTCTTCGAAGCTAGAGCGTCTCATCCCAAAGTAATTGTGAAAGTCTTTCGGTTCAAGAAGATTTAAACAGGCTCCATCATGAACAGTCACTGTTTAAGAGCTAAACTTAAATTACTTGCAATAAATATCGATGGTGCAAGGCTTAACATGGGCATCAATAAATATTGACAATAAGTATTGAACCAGTAATTATATTTTGTTTTATTAGAACCTGATATTTTACAAAATATAAATAAAAGAAGCAGGAAACAGCCCATTAATCGAATTATTTCTAAAACGAGATGCCATTATCGATGTGTGTTCCGAGAACCTGTTTGTTTTTATCGATTTTCTTGCCCGCTTGGGCATGCGCAAACTAACCTGTACTTTAAGCGACGCATACATAACCTTTTTTGCTCATACATAACCTGTTCTGTTGCCTGCTGAAAGCAACTTGTCTGTTGTCTTTCTATTTGATCAGTAGGTTACTAGAATTGTGTGACGCTCCAAAACCTTGTCAGACGTCAGTTAATAACATAAAAGATCCGTTCGAAGTGCTGAAGGTGTTGCGTCAAAAGTGATATATATATATATCCGTCTTATACTAAAGTGATATTTTAGTTTTGTTGTGTACCAAGAAATCCAGAAACAAATTAAGATTGCAAGGTAATTTTTTTTTTTACGTCCAATGAGCTGTGTAATTATGAAGTGTGTCATTACAGTGTGTGATTTGAATTTGGAATTAGCGTTTCTTTCTAACTTGGTATGGTATGGTAAAATAGTCTGTTAAATATTAAATGTTTTGTGAAGTACTGATTGATGGCTATATTTACCTTTCATTTAAAAACTAAAATATTTGTATAGTTAGATATAAATTTATGCGTAAATAATTTATATAATTTCAATATTGAGTCGTGGTATCAGACAATTAAATTATATGTTTTAACTAATACGTCCCTGATCATAATATTATTATTATTATATTCTGTAATAGTATTATACACATTAATCAAACGATAGGTTCATAATGTGTACAAATTTAACCCCTACCCTGCCTGTGGGGGGGGGGGGGGGGGTCGATCAGTCACCCACTCTACTTACCTCCTCTGGATAACTTGGTTTTATCCGGGACTTCTCTTCAATAGCATTAAAATGCAAATATTAAGCTTATATGATATACTTTTTATTTGTATTAATGTTATTAATCTTTGAAGATGGCTGTCTTCGTACTTACCGCCTTAAGAACGTCAAATCCTACGTATTAATCTATGTTGGTAATTTCGTGTTTGATGTTTGTAAACGACAAGAATTTACTAAAATGTAAATGTTATTAATTCTGTTTTGTTTGTGGCCTAGACGGGATTTTGACGTCGTGAAAAGGTCACTTACCACTGATTTGAATACGGAGGGAAATTTTGTTTTATGGTTGGAACTCCTGTTCGGGAGGTCCTGGGATTAAATCTCGTCCCGGAGACCGGCTATACTATAGAAGGTTTATACATTGTTTTTCTCAGCCCCTCCAACCAAAAACGGGTGGTACAATGAATTAAACCATTGTGCAATTAACCATTTACTGCTCGTCAGCTTTTAGACTCCATGTAATCTAAGTTACTGGAAGCGTCATTAAATAAAATGTAAGTAAAACTAAAAGGTGTCGTTTAACGTGGTTCTGAGCCACTTCCATCTGCCTGTGAGATTAAGCTCAAAGCTTGTCGATATTTCTTAATACAAGGTCTGCCCTGATTAAGGGACCTTGGAGCTGTCTCGTTAGGAAACAGGTGTTTTGTTATTTAGGGGACAGGTGTGCTTCAACTTGTAATATAACATGAGCAGATGATCTGTTGTCGTCATAACCAGCATTTACTTGTTGCCATGGAGACGTTTCTTCATTCGCTCTTACATTATGAAGACATGACGCACGTGATCTCTGAAGAATACTTGTTAACAAACGAGAAGAAAAGTTTTGGAAACTGCATTAAGGTGCTGCTTATTTATTTGTTATTCCCATTTGACTGTAGAGGTAACTTAGGTCAAGGATGATTTTCGAAGCAGCAGTGGCCTGTTTTAAAATAGTGTCAGTGCTGAGGAAAACCCACGAATAACGAAGATTGTGGTAGTTATCGTATCGAATCACGTTTTAATTTCAGTGACCTAGACTCTATGGCCGTCAGCATTACACCTCCTACTTTTGAAACAGAGAAACACGAAGTGGTAGATAATTTTTACGAGTACCAGGTAAACTTTATACGGGTCACTTAGTTGTATCGATACCTTAGCTGAACTTTGTGACACTTTTGCACTAATATTTATATAAGATCCAGCGTGATTTACAAGAAATGTGTTGATTTTTAAAATTGTATTATAACGGGTGTCTCATTATACCTCACACTTAGGCTGAGCAGATTTTGGCTTGTTAGACATTCTGTTATTCTGTGGTCCTGATGATTGAATCAGTAAGTTCCTCAACCACACTACAGGGCGCGGTAACCCAGAAGACAGCCATCTTCAGACTCACAGCCGTGATAACCTCAAATTTTGCAACGATAAACTGTTTGATGCTGTTTACGAAAGTACTCGCTGTTTGTTCCGGAAATTATACAGAACACACGAATGTACTCAGTGAGAAAAATACAGAGTTATGGAATGTTAAAACGTACATGTAAGTACCACTGGGATTTAAAGTTGCCAACACTCGGTGATCAAAATTCGAAGTCGAATTTGAACTCTGTTTCTAGGTTGCTTGATACACCAGTCAAGATTGGCACACCTTTTACGTGATTAAATTATGCAGTTTTTGGCATTGAATTGCTTTGTAATTAGCATGTTATTGCAGTGTAATGAGTCCACCTCAGAATCCCAACCAGACAGTTCCATCAGCCACAACGAAGCTGGCGGTGGATAAGATGGAGCTGGTACGCCCTGATCTTCCCAGCCGCTGCACGTGGCACCTGGGGATGGACCCAAAGAAATCTCCCCACACCCACACTGGACGGTGAGTACACACAGACATCTTGATTTAACCCTCCAAATGTGTTGTAAGTTACCTTGAATGGAAGATAATACAAATTTCTGTTTATAAATCAACAGTTCTGTATATTTATGTTTAATATCAACCTTTTTCTTCTTTCAGGATAGAAAGAAAAAACATTTTGCCAAACATACTTTCTTTTGTTGGAAATACTCCTATGGTACGCTTAAATAACATCCCAAAATCTTTTGGCTTCAAGTGTGAGATGGGTAAGTTAATATTTTCATTTTGATGTTTTAGTAATAAATTGTGCTTTGCATTCTGCCACGATTTATAAAAATAAAGGGGCTAATGGTGTTAATTCAGCCCTGATAATATAGCATTTTATCATGTATGATGAGTTCCATATGTCATTTTTTTCTTAAATACAAAATTTGTGAACACAAAAAGAATGTGAATTTCGCAAACTTCATTATGGGTGATACTGTAAGTCTCGAGTCGTACATCAAAGTGTTATTCATTACGACAAGATAATTTTGTATTGTATTATAAATATGGATTGTGGTATTCTCAATTTTGATGCCACGTAGTTTTAAACGGTTATCATATTTCAGAGGAAGACGCAGGTGGTACGATGCTCAAAAACGTAAACCGCGACATTTTACGTTCTCAGTACTTTGAAGTCCTTTGTTCTCATGAAAATGAATTTAATTTTAAAAGGATGACTGTGATAAAAATTGCTACTTCCGAACACTTTTTGTATCAGATGTACCTCTTATGGTGTGCGGCGTCGCTGACCGAGGACTATTTATGGAGGTGGAACGAGTGATTTTTAATATTACAGGGTTTTTTATGTGTTTCCAGTGGCAAAGTGTGAATACTTAAGCCCAGGAGGAAGTGTAAAGGACCGCATTGCGGTCAGAATGGTGGAGGATGCTGAAAGGAAGGGACTCTTGAAACCTGGAGATGTTCTGATTGAACCCACTTCAGGGAACACAGGTACATGCCTTAAACAGCATTTGTTATTATGTGTTTTAAGTTGAAAAGAAAATATTACTTTCTTTTGCTTGCTATATTTTAAGTGGTTACTCAATTTACATCATCAAGAAGTCCAAAAATTTAAATATGTGCTACTCCAAATGCAGCGCTGAAGAGAAAAATTCCAGTCTCTGCCACAATTCAAACTTACTTATTCCAACCCATGGTTAGTCACTTTACTGACCAAGCTGTCCAAACACCGCACATACACGCACATAAAATACATTCCCAAGTTCCGTAAACATTATTCGAAAAACCTGCCAGCTTTTTCATCTGTTCAACCGACGTGATCGACTGTGCATTAGGTCTGGGCTTGGCAATGGCCGCTGCTGTGAAAGGGTACCGCTGCATCATGGTAATGCCTGAGAAGATGTCGAACGAGAAAGTGGATGTGTTGCGAGCCCTCGGAGCCGAGATCGTTCGGACACCCACCTCTGCTTCCTTCGACTCTCCGGAAGGGCTCATCATGGTTTCACAACGACTCAACAAGGAGATCCCCAACTCCATCATCTTAGATCAGGTAACTTGACTGACTGACTGACTAGTCAACCAACAGAATATTGCCTGTCCGAGCATTTTTATATTTATGAGCCCCACAGGTGCATTTGCAGTATTGTAGTCCTTCACTTCAGGGCGATTAAATCGAGAAGAATGAGATGGGCAGGGCATGTAGCGCGCATGGATGAGACAAGAGGTGTGCACCGGGTACTGGTCGGGAAGCCTGAGGGGAAGAGACCGCTGAGGAGACCTAGACGTAGATGGTAGGATAATCTCAGGCGGGATCTATGGGAGATAGGAGTTGAAGGAGACTGGATTTTGTTGGCCCAGGACAGGGTCCGGTGGAGGGCTTTGGTTAGTTCGGTGATGAACCTTCGGGTTCCGTAAGCCATCTGGTTGGTTGGGTCCAATATTTGGGAAGCCTGAGGGGAAGAGACCTCTGGGGAGACCTAGACGTAGATG